TCGACAGGTTAAAACCCCCCAAAGTATTTTCATCTTTTTGTAAGGCTTATTTGGAGTTTGTGGGTGACTATTAAATTACGTACCCCTAAGGGCAAAAAGTCTCACGTTTCGACCGACCCCCAAATACTCCCAATTTTCTGTAGACCGTTAGAAGGATTTTCTCAAAGAAAATCAATCACCTTCTGTACACCTTGATCCGTCGTGGTAATAGAGCCCTCTGTTACAATCCATGTAGACCACTTTCTCAGAAGAAAAAGACATTAACAAGGCACGCGGAATGCTTAAGGTTCGCAGTTTTTTCGATGCTAATGTTAGGCGGTGGCCAGGATGGATTTTAATGTCAGCTGTCTTCTTCTATTGCAACAACACACAGAATGTGGTATTTTGTCAAAAGAAAACAGCCAAACATAACGGAATACTTTGAACTCCAGTGCAGGTAATAAAAAGCATAAATGGAAAATTATTTTTTTACTCTTTGGACATAACGCGTCTTAATACGGTACAAAGCAACTAACGGAAGCGCAATCATGAGAAATTAGCAAGTGTTTAGGTATATTGAGCTGTTTGGTGCCTAATTAAAATCTGCTAATCCTGCTGGAGCTCCACAGACTGCTCTATTTTCTTCGTCAAATTGAAATCACGCTTTTAGTCTCGAACTGAACTCCGCATTGCACACCACAAGTATCCTTACAAGCGAAACAAGCGAGTACAATCGGTCTCTTATAAATGAAACGCAATGAGTAACAAGACTTATTGTTCCTACCTGTGTCCATGAAGAAAAATGCGTTTATTGGAATACCTAAAATGGAGACACAAACTCCCGTCAAATACAAGTACTGAAGGTAATCTCTGCTAATGCTCCCGATATAAGGTGTCATTAAGCACTCAGTATATGCATTATACTAGTAAGCCAAAGCGGAGAGCAGTAGCTATTGAAGTACTGCAAGTAAATGAAGTGTAGATGTGGCTTTACTGACTAAGTAACTCCCGCCCCTCATAAATAAATAGTTTTAATACCTTAAAGCATAATTAGATCATAAACATAAACCGAAACATTACAACTGTCTATAATCGTGCACTCTAGTGTTTTATTATAACGTGGTTCATGTGTAATGTAGCTTCTACAACACTGTTTGTAACAGGGTTACAGGTTGCAACTACCAAACAATAAAGGTTCTCTTCTAAACTTCTAATCCCCCGAGTCGAAAGTCATAATGGTGTCTGTTTGGAGTGGGGTGACGGTGTTTGAACGTAATTGCATTTTATATATTTAATTTAATTGACAGTTTTTATGAAGCACTGTAATGAAGTTCAACAAAGTGTATTCCACGCACGGCAGTTTGCATTAGAAGGCCTCTCCTTCAGAGCACTCTGACCGGGTTGATCATGTCATTGACATGCATGAATGTCTGATTGCCTTGTCACATGATGCCGAAAGCAGACAAGAGGAAGGTTCCCCAGATTCCTTTTTGACATGGCTTTCACATTCCCTGTGTAAGTTACACCAATTCATCTAACATTTAAACATCTCTCACTTGGGCTCATAAAGTCTACGCATACATGGGTACCCGTGCACACAGTGTGGATGTCTGGAAGGGTGAGCGTGAGTGTGTGTATTTATGTGCTGTAAATGTGCGTCACATGCATCAGCGTGACACCCAGAAACGCGACTGTCTTCTGCGGATGCGCCGCAGCTGTTACAATGGAGTCTCCTTCATGTTTCCCAGAGCCCTGTGACTCAGCCCTTTCGGGGCAGACATGCCACCTTGTGCTGAACAAGCGTCTCTCCCCCTGCCTGTGTGGCAGGCAGAACACTGGCTGAAGCAGTCGAGCTCTGCCCCACGGGCCCTGTGTTCCTCAGTGTCATCTGCACGACTTTGGACAACCGAAAACAGGCAAGCAGCTCGTCTATATGAAGATATATCATGTTTGGATTCTTGGTACAGGGGGTGGCGGAGTTGAGGTGTTTCTAAATAAACAGGCCGAGAAGAGGTTCCACTGCGCACATTGGAGAAGAGGAGTGCTTTGTCTTCGACTTGCCCTGCCCATTCACATTTCAAACCCGTGAGCATCATGGCAAATTAATGCTGTGTGATGTGTTCATAATAATTTTGTAAAACTAAATAGAATAATCACTAATACAACTACTCCTGCTGCTACTACTATGGACAATGACAAAGACAACAACAGTAGCAACATAATATAATATAATATAATATAATATAATATAATATAATATAATATAATATAAT